TGTGTGTGTGTGTGTGTGTGGGGAATGGGCCCCTTAATGTTTACACCGACAATCGTTATTTTTTTGGTTTCCTTTTTTTCCCCAACGAGCGCGCGCGCTCATTTACCATTGCCCCCCGTCAGCTGGGGTGTGTGGCGGTGCTCTTTGCGGCTCGCTTTTGAAGACCTTTTGGCGGATTCCCAAGTTTACGGGAATTGAGTTCCGATCTGGGGGATGCTGGGCGAAATTCTCTTCTTAGATCTTTGCTGCTTTCGCCGAGTGCGTAACAGGGGCGCGAACCAGCCGCACTACCTGGCAATCCTTTTTGGGTAAAAAATGCTTTTCTAAAGAAATTGTGTTATTATCTCGGCGTGGGTGCGCCAGCCCCATGGGATCTGAGACCGCTGCTTCTTCCCTAGCTTGCTGGGGGGTTTGTCTGCTGGCATGCGGCCTGGGGTCAAAAAAAATCGAGCAGTGTTCTTGCATATTTCTATCTCGCTGTGTTTCGAAAGTTTACAACTTACGACGTGTTGGAAAACGATTTCTTCCTGAATCGTGTGACCATTTGTTGCGTTGCACGCTCACAGAATTTCCTCATTATGGACCTCTTTTGTTACCACACTGGGCGCTTAGAGATGCACATTGCAATGCGGTTTGTCCTTGTTTTTAGCACCAATATGGGCAGCACGCAGCCTGGATCAAAAGAGCCGGTGGTTACGCTCCTCAATGCAGACTGTAAATGGATTGTGTCTCTTTTGCCTCCCCTTAATTCTCGGAAAGCCATCCAGACCTTTTTTTGAATATGCCCACTTAAACCCCAATGGGGGGTTGCTTTAGGGCGCTCGAGTTGGGCAAAGTACGGGAAAAAAGTAGTTCCATCGTGCTTCTAAAAACCCGCGCGCGATTTCCTTGAACAGATGGTGCCCGAATAATTGATTACCTCAGCAATTCGTTGCTTCTTGGGCCTAAAGTCTTTTTCAACTTATAAATGTCTTTTTCTGATAAATCATTCTGCACGCCAAGCTGTAGTACCCAACGCGGCCGCATCGGGAGCAGCGTGCCTTTCTTTGCGGGAGGGCAGTCCTGGGTTCCTCGGCCCTGGGGCTGCCTATGTAAGAAAGGTATTTGTTCTTGGGGGCTTTTCAATGCATCTCTGCATAACCGAAATCCACGAGCAAGGACGACCCCCGACGTTTGATGAAAGCTTGCGAAAGGAATGGTCAAGGCTTACCCAATCTTGTTAACAGGAGATCCTGCAATCCATCATCATTCTTGTATTCATATCTTGCCGTTGGAAAGTCGCAAAGGGTAAGTTTTTGAAACGAACGGCAAGTCACAAGCGGACACAATGTTATCCACTACTTCCCAGCAGGCCCTCATGGACGTGGAATGGATGACAAGCCTCTCGGCTCTCAGTATGTTTGTTGAACATTGCGGTCGCACCCCCTTTTCGTTCGAGTACAGACCAAATTTTAGTACGCAGGTCAATTGCGTCGAGGGCGCACTCACACTCGAGAACGGTGAACTGATCATTTCTCTGGAGAATGGTGCTAAAGCCAGTTTCGTTTCTTTGCGGCACTCTATGGTTTCGTTTACCATGCCAAAAAATGAGAACTTTCTTAAGACTTTTGACGATGCACGGGCGACCTTTCGAACTGAGTGGATGGCACCGGAAGAAAGCAAGTCTATACTGCATTAGCAGTATGAAATGGCCAGGGCACAACTGGCTGAGGAAAACTTAAAGATCCAACAGGACGCCTACGCTCAAACGGTAGGATCACACGAACACATTAATCAACTGTAGCATCAGATTAACACGTTGAAATCGCAGAAAGCCCAGTTGTGTAAGGAGAACAATCAGATGCAAGATAGGATAAATCAAATGGAGGCGTGGTTTAACCAAACAGAGAAACATGGACTGCCAGCGCAGCGGGCGGCAACAGAGGGTGAAAACGAATATTTTCCACAAGATGCCCACACGGTGACACATACCGCCAAGATGGGTGGGCATGCAGAACGGCCATTTACGGCGTTGGGGGCTCAACCCCAGGTGGGGGTGCGAGGAATTCAAGCGCTGAAGAATAAGTTCGTGGAAAAGGGTTTGCGACCAGAAGAAAAATATCCGGACCTTCGAGGGCGCCTTGGAGTATTTATTGGAGACCTCCCCAGAACAGCTGCCGGCGGCTTATCGCGGCCTCTTCCAGTTACCCATGAAGCCTGCTTTTGGCTTTTGCCAGGCGTGGGGCAATTTTGTGGCATGGATTTACGCTATCCGCCGCGAGGGCATGTCGGCCGAACTGACGCAATTGGGCAGACGTTTATATTATCAGCTTCGGGCGCCTCAGGCGGCGAAGGAAAACCCCGGAGTCAACATCCAAACTCTTGTCAACGCCATCCGCAATCCCAGAAAAGAAGAAAACCCTGTTTTTCAGCTGGTGCAGAGAGCGAAAAAACATCCCGCCCATCCCCCGAGATATGCACGATGTGTTCGATTTGGCCGCACAGGGCATTACAGCACAACTTGCTATGTGCAGGTAAAAAAGACTCCGTTTAAGCCAAAAAACGATCATCGGCCCCGGAAGCAGTGAACTCCGGGGCCTGGAAAGCATTGGAATCCTTACCGAGTGGCTCGGGTGCTGCCGGGCGATCGGGAAGAAAGCGTTTTGCCGCAGGAGGGGGCCTGCACGCCATTTCATCATGCCGGGCCCCCCGGGCGCCCCCCACTTGGGAGGGATCAGCTGGCACAGGTCCTTCCGCCTTTAAAAACCTCAGCAAACGAGGTTACAGTTATTGCGGCACCGTCAGACAACCCATATGTTACAGCACTTGCGTCCGAGGCGAATCGCATAGCCAAGGGCATGCGGACCCATTCGGCTTGGGAACAAAGGGCGTCCATCGTGCGAAGATTCTGCGACTTCACGAAAAGGAACGATCTCGAGGTTCGGGAGGAAAACGTTCCTCTTTTTATTGTAAGTCTACAACTCACCAAGAGCAGCGCGGTGCAATACACAAGAACTTTGTTGACCTTGTTGGCCTCGGGGGGATCACCGGCCAGGATGTTTTTGGCTGGCCTTCAAAGGAAGGCGGCCGCCGACCCCATAAAACAGGCCCCCCCGTGGAGAGGTGGGAATTGCATCTCGTCAGCAATTAGTTGACCTTAGTGAACGGCCGGGTTGCCCTACGACATGCCTGGGTCACAGCCAGTCGGTGGGGCGAAATCGCTCTATTCCAAAAGGAAAATTTTATTCCCCACCCTCAAAACAAGGAAGCCCTCATTGTAGACTGGGGGGCTCTCCCAAAGACTTTCAAGATCGACCCCCAAAAAGGGGCAAGATAAGTGGTATCGAAGGGGGGGAATATGCAAAAAAGGGCAAGAGGCGTCACCAAGGGAATGGTGGAGGAGAACGGCTCACAACTTTAACCACAAGAGGCGTAGAAAACCTACTCCGCCCATTCGGCATGACGGCGCATTCCATCAAAAGAGGGGCACTGGCGCATGTAGCTGCAACGGCGATCGAACACGATCTCGACCCTCGACTGCTGGCCCAGTTGGGGAAACACGCAGACCCTCTAGAGCTGCCACGCAGCGCAGCTCGCTACATAGGGCCCTGGGTCGCCCTGGTAAACAAGTCGGCACACCTGCCGGCATACGTTTGGACGGGGTCAGCAGCTGGGCGATGCCCCCATGGGCCTATCCAGCGAGAGGTCAGGATAAGGGACAGCTTTTTGAGGGGCATAGCATTTTGCGACGTACCCATCACAAGCGGGTGGCCGATCAGAACGATGAACGCAGGTTACCGTTACAACAGGTAGACGTGGATACTCTTTCATTGCACTGGATCCGGAGCCGGCTCAATTCCAGGGCCGTGGAGCGGTTTCATACAGTGCGGGGCTTGGAGCAACAGCCAGCTAATTTCCGGACAGGAGGAACGAGAGCCCCTCTTGAGAATGAGAGAAGGGGATGCCCGGGCGATGAAGAGGGCGGGCATTATTCAAACCGCATCAAAGCTACCCACTACCGGGTGGGTGGTGCCTTTTACGGTAGTGGAGGAAAAACAGTCGGGGCCACGGCGACGTTTTATCGCCTGGCCGCAGACTAAAAATTAACAAGAGGACTGCGAGGCCATGGTTCCTCTAGGGCACATTTTCCGTTACCTGGGTGCGGTGTGCGATGAGGCTGCCGCCATTTTCGATTTAAAGGCATCTTTCTTCCAGGCAGGCCTGCCAGCAGAGACACGCGGGAATTTCCGTTGCCGGACAGAAAAGGGGGGGCTCGTTGAGTTCACATGGCTCCCCATGGGGTATAAATGCAGTCCGGAAATTGCGCACACCATCACAAGGGTTTTGGCTGGTGACCCCGAGGTTGTTAAACCGCGGTTCGCATCCCCAACGGAGTTAACTCTACACGTGTGGATTGATAATATTCGCATCAAAGGGCCACGCAAGAGCGTTGAGTTGTGGGGGAACACTATTATGGCAAATATGCGGGAGTGCGGTGCAACGGTGGGAGAGCACAAGGCTCCCACCGCGCGTTGTGAATTCATAGGGGTTTGTTTCAACCACACTGCGAAGACGGTTTTCCTCAGTGACAAGACGTTGCGGAAATTGAAGAGTGCCACACCCCTCCATAAGATGTCGGTTGAGGAATTGGAAAGCTTCACCTCACTTATGGTATATGCGGCGGGGGTTCAGGGGGGTTCGTTTTTTCGGAAATATTTCTTTTTGAAAACGGTGCGCCGAAGGTTTTCGCGGCTCAACAGGGGGCTGGTAGACGCACGCGATCCGGCAGCCCCAGCCCCCTTTGGCCTTAAGGCCGGGGAGGGGTGGCCGGACACCTTGTTGCAGAATAATCCGGCCAACCCCCCCCCGAGGGTTAACCCGACTTCAGGGACTTGAGTTTCCGACGCCTCTTTATAAGGGTGGGGCGCGTTGCTGTTTAAGGGTGGCGGGGGTGTGTGGACCACAGGGGGGGCGGTGGGGCATTGAAGCAGGCCCCCCGCATTATTTCACAGGCCGAAGCGAGGGCCGTGGGATTGGCCCTGCTCGCTTTCAAGGGGATTTACCGGCCACACTCCATGTATTTGCCGACAACACGACAGCGATGCATATTTTGCAGAAAGGCAACGCACATTCCGATGCCCTGGCGGGGGGGGGGGGGGGGGG